CAGCCGGCTGGAGTGATGTTGGTCTCATAGCGAGCCGACACATTTCCTGTAGTGGAGTGGAAGGGACCTGGAAGACAGAGTGGACACAATCACAGTCGTTATTCATCCTAAAGGTTCAGAGTGGAGGTCAGGGATCTGTGGAGGTCCAGGGTCTGAGACTTAGGACTTCCTGTCACTGCAAAATGTGCTTTAGACAAACAGAAATCTTTCCTTACTCAGAGCGGAGAGGGAGCAAGGAGGAGCAGTACATGAAAACAGACACTTTTTTTCAGACTTTATCTATTGTGAACATACAAAAGTAGCTACATAGATTAAATATATGAACCCCAAAAAGGGTTTAATATGGGCTCTTTGATCTCCTACATGTTTTGTAAAAACAAAAAATCTTATTCTGCTTTCTTGAAACACTTGAATGTTTGACTCAGAGTGAATCTTTGCCGTGTTGAAACTAAACTCAGATGTTTAGGCAGTGTGCAGGTATCTTAAACCCAGATGTTTAGGCAGTGTGCAGGTATCTTAAACTCAGATGTTTAGGCAGTGTGCAGGTATCTTAAACCCAGATGTTTAGGCAGTGTGCAGGTATCTTAAACCCAGATGTTTAGGCAGTGTGCAGGTATCACCTCTGCTGACACCTACCTGACAGCAGCAGCTTCAGTCCTATGAAGAAAAAGTCAATCTTCTCTCTGATGCTCTTATTTTTATGTTTTAAGGTCAAATAGAGGGATGGATATTAACGACAGTCTGTTTCATAACCACGGACTAACTCAGTGTCAGAGCTTCAAAATGGACTCAAGTGGAAGCAGTAAAAGGAAAAACTCTTAAACACACACACACACTGTTCCCACCACTCTGAATCCTGTTGGTCTGGTCTAAAACAGTGGTACTAAAAAAGGGAAGTCATGTGACTGTGAGTCATCACTGGAGGCTCAGAAAGGAAAGTTTCTCATCACCCCGGGAGCTGTTATGGCTCCATGTTTATGCCACACCCAGAGATGAAGGACGGTCTCCATATCTCCTCATCCTCCTCTTGGAGACACCGCAGACACTCCCATTAAAGTTATTTAAGTCGTTTTATTTTTCAGTTTGCTGTCAAATCCTGAAAATAAAAACTCTAATACATTCTGTTGACAGATGTTGGCGCTCTGTTAACGGTGTGAGGAGGATTACTCCAACGTCAGAACAAACAGGTTTTCCTTTTTGCTAAATAAATGTAGAGGGGTGAGTCTCTATTCTACGGAGGCCCTGAGAGGACATTCATCCATGCATGTTATTTTACTACATTTCCGTTTCTCCAGAGCTCCACTTATTTATCTCCATATCCACAATCCATATGGTTTCCTGTGGCAACAAAAGAATTCCTCCAGGTCTCAAGAAAGGGGCTGAAATCAGTATCAGATACTTTTTTTTTTTATCCCCAGTGGCGACTCTGGAGTCTGTTTGGGCCCAAGACAGAGATCCACAGGGGGCCCTCCATGTTACAAATAATGCTTCACCAACAAAATAACTCAGCAGACATCTTTCCCCCATATTTAGGGCTAGACAAAAATCATTCAATCAACTATTATATGAGTGAGAGCTGTCAGATGGGGCCCGCTTAGGGAGGTTTCCTACTGTCATTGCAAAATTTGCACATTTTGAGCCACTGCTGGGCCCCCCCCCAACTGGCCCCAAGCTGTTGCCTACCTCCCGGGGGGAGAATTCGGTCGTTACAGTTGTTCTTAAACATGATATAGAAGTAGGAGATATAGAAATAGAATATAGAATAAAATAGAATACCAAAAAGTACCAAATAAAGTCGTCGTCATAGAAAAACCAGCATAGTTGAACTCGAGGACACAAATGAAATTCACTCATTATATCATGATCATCATTAAATTAAATGTATTGACATGTCAGCTTTGGGCTTCCGTACTATTCCTCTCCTTCCTGTTTCTTCTTTAGTTTCCTTATGTAACAAACAAACAAACAAACAATAGATGCCTGCTGATGGTTACACGTCCTCGTTGTTTTGTGTAACAGCGACATGAAGCGTCACCCGCAGCACATCATTAACTGGGAGTCTCCCATTAAAGCTGTTTCGTAACCAGTTCAAAACACGGTTGTGTAAGTTGAGAGGGAAACATTCAACGGACACAAACAACGTTTTTGTTTCTTGCCACAGAAACAATCATTTGTTTCTAAACATCTGGGTGACACAGGGTGTCACAAAGGTCTCCTTAAAACCCAGTGGTGTGTGAGTGCCGTGAACTCACCTTTTCCCGCTCCAGCCAAAGCGTTCACAACCAACACCGCAATAAACACCAGCGTACACAAGATGATGAGGACAATCCGGGGTACACTGTTCTCCCTCATTTCAGCAGATCTAAAGGTGGTCTTCCTGCTCACTAACTCACTCAGTGTGTGTGTGTGTGCTGAAGCTCTGGACTGTCTCAGTAAGGGCGGAGACACAAACACGTTGACCGAGTGATGCGTTCACGTGCTCTACGTTAACGCCCAGAGCCCCACAGACCATCACACTGTGAAAAGAATAGAAATGGGGATGCCTTGCAAATAATTTTAAATCATATTGCAAAAAAACAGAGCCCCTGAAATAACAAAAAGTAAAAAAATAAAATAAAATAAGTTATTATCAATAATATATCATCAACAGTTTAACTATATTGTGCGCACAAGAGTTTTTTTTTTTCTTTTTTTTTTTTTCTTTTTGGGACTTCAGGGGCTCTGGTCAAAAATATAAACCAAATTTAAGGGAAGACGACCTTATTTAGAAACGTCTTTGAATCCAGTGTTGTCCAAACTTGAGAATCAGCTGTGCCAATCCATTTAGGTGAGTCCAGGTCCACCTGAGACAGGTGAGTCCAGGTCTACCTGAGACAGTTGAGTCCAGGTCCACCTGAGACAGTCCAGACCAGGTGAGTCCAGGTCTACCTGAGACAGTTGAGTCCAGGTCCACCTGAGACAGGTGAGTCCAGGTCCACCTGAGACAGGTGAGTCCAAATGAAAAAATCAGACCCCCGTGTGCACCATACCTCTTTCAATATGTTTAACAGTAAATGGACTGCTTTATCTAGTTTCTGACACAATGTCACCCTCCCAACATACAGTATGTCCTGTCATAACCTAGAAGAGTCCCATTACACTGCTTCTATACTGATACTCTGTATATGTCTTCATAGGGTTGTGTCAATACTGGAATTTAATTCTTAGATATGATATGACTACAAATCTAACAATAATGTTACTAATTATGGTAATTCCTCGCTTTTCATCACAAACTCAAAACGCAGGCTAACTCGCTGCACAGATTGCAAAAAACAAACATTGGGAAAGTTGCCATCATATTTGTGTGAATTATTCACTGCTCTCACTTTTTGCTCAGCCATTGGTAAAAAATGTATCACTTAAGATCTGCAGGATTTCTTTTTGATTCTATTAATAATTCAAATAAAGATGGTTTTATTTGAAAAGACTAAGTATCCAAAACTATCCAAGAACAGAAAACTGGGACACCCTGATGCCTCAGTGATGATCAATGAATCGTCTTTAAAGGAAGTGGTGTTGATGAGAAACTGCTGACGCTGAGATGTTGTACTAGCTCTTAGCTGACACGTGTTCTCTTTTGTTACCCTGTCGGTGAAAAGCTGCAGAAGTCATCACGTGTATCATCAGGAATAATAAGATGATGAAGTTCATTTCAGGCGACACCTCGGTCGGTTGGTTGAATTGTTTCTTGTACTTTATTTGAGAAACAGATTTTTAAAACTTTAGAATCCTGGAATTCATAGAAAAAACAGATCAAGCTGGAGAGAAAGAATAATGATTGAAAGAGCATTTAAAATCCACTTCACCATGTTTCTCTAATATGTGTCTCTAGTCTGTCTACAACCCCCCAATGAGAAAAGTCCATCCTCTCTGTCTTCTGCCTGCTCCACTTTTCAGAAAATGTGTGCTCAAACAGGCCGTTTGGAAATTTTCCCTTCATGACATCACAAAGGGTAGTAGCCCCTCACCTAGCTGTGGGTGAGACACTCCCACAGCTAGGTGTTTGTTCTGCCCTCTGAGTCTGCCTTCTCACCTTAAACAATAGGACATTGAGCGAGAAAACCTGAGTACACCAAGTCCTTCCAGAGAGGGGGTGTGGTCAGACACAGCTCATTTACATATTTAAAGGTACAGACACAGAAACAGCCTGTTCTGAGCAGGGCTGAAATAGAGGGGTTTATAGACATGCAGGATCAGAGTGGATTTAGACAAGAAACTTCACACACATGTTTTGAGGAGCTCTGAGACTTATTGAAGAGGAGGAGGATATGTAACCTTTAGCTTCTGCATCTTCTTAACTTTAACTTCAAAAATCAGTGGGTAACCATTAAAAAAACCCTCCTAAGAAGTTTTCACAAAACAATCCTCCATTTTCCCCGTCTCCTGCAGTGAGGCTGTGGTTCTCTGTGTTGCTACAGAATGTTGTGGTCTCAGATATTAAAAACAGCTGAGGAATGAGAAACTTCTCTACTTGGGACGCAGACATCTGCTGCTGGTTTAGAGGAGGTTAAATCAGGACGAGAAACAAACACAGGAACTCACGTTATAATTAAATAAACCAAGATGAGTAATAAAGACAAATCTGGATACATTTCTGGGACGGGACAGTCTTAGAAAAACTCTGCCTTCACTGGGTTTTCAAACAGCGTTTATTAAAACTCGATCTCCACTCGTAGTCAAGTCTGAAATGTGTAAACCTGTAATCTCTCAGTGCGCTGCTTTCTTAAGTGCATGTTTAGAGTCCTGCGCCTCCATGGAAACACGCCTTAAAGAAGCTCCGTCTGTCCCACATGTGGTTTTCATTTTCCTCAAGCTTTGTGGGAGCAACATCTGATGTGTTCTCCTGTAGGTGTGTGTGTGTGTGTATGTGTGAGAGAGTGTATGTGTGTGTGTGTGTATGTGTGAGAGAGTGTATGCGTGTGTGTATGTGTGCGTGCGTGTGTATATGTGTTTGTGTGAGAGTGTGTGTGTGTGTGTGTGTGTGTGTGTGTGTGTGTGTGTGTGTGTGTGTGTGTGTGTGTGTGTGTTAGGAGGCCTGAGGCTGGCAGGCTCCAGTCTCTGTGCTGTTGTGTTCATAGTCTTTGTGCAGGTCCAGAGGTCCATACAGACTCTCCAGCACAGCCAGTACTCGGCTCTGGACTGAGTCCACCTGCTCTAGAGGGCAGTACTCATCCAGACTGGACCTGGAAACACAGAAACAACAAAATATTTTGGCATTACAAACATCCTCAATTAGTAGATGACCAGTTAGCCAGAATCAGTACCAGGTCCCAGTTTGATGAACTGTTGTCTATAGGATCAGTACCAGGTCCTGTGGGCCTGTGTTAAGACTATGTGGGTCTGTGTTAGACTCTGTGGGTCTCACCTGGACATGGTAACCAGCGTAGGTTTGGGCAGATCCTTCAGAATGAGCTGCACAGCAGAGACCAGTCTGTGGATCTCGTCCTCAGAGCTGACGTGGTGAGGCAGCTCCACGGAGTCACAGGTGAGACCGGCCTGATGGACCTGAAGACAGACCAGAACATCTCAGCGCCGCATGCTCTCAACACGACCAGCGCCATGTTGACATATTAAAACACAGACGTCTTACCATTTCATAGTCGGGGCTGACGTTTCGAGACTTCAGACTGGAAACCAGTTGAGCTAATGAAGCCATACTGGAAACACATGAGAGGAAACACAGTGTTAGATATATAACGTCTGGAAGTGACCATGAGGCGGGACCATTCATACACCACAGGCCAAGCAGCGGGAGCAACTTAGGGTTAAGAGTCTTGTCCAAGGACACAGCGGACATGTGGCTGCAGGAGCTGGGGATCGAACCCTCGACCATCCGGTTGAGAGACGACTGACCACCCAAAGCCACAGCCGCCATCTCACAGAGTGAGACACTTACTGACACACAACCAGCAGATATAAATACAATATAAGATACAGAATTAAAGAGGCACTGGTGACCTAGTGGTTGGCGGTCGGTTCAAGTCTCTCTCTCTCTCTGTAGTTTATGAAGTGAAGGCATAAAACGCCCCAAAAGAAAATAATGATGTATCTACAACATAAAATAACAACCTGTAAAATCTCTAACACGGTGGCAGCGTGTTGCTCAGAGTGAGAGAAACGTTACCCGGGGTTACCCGCCCAGCGCGTCACCGTCTCCTCTCCGTCATCCTCCAGCAGATCAGCAAACGCTGCCTCCAGGTCCTCTAACTGATGGACACGATGATCCACACACTCCTCCAGCTCCTCCTGCACACACACACACACACACACACACACACACACACACACACACACACACACACACACACACACACACACACACACACACACACACACACACACACACACACACACACACACACACACACACACACACAGTCTTAGTGACTACATAAAGGTGTGTAATGATTTCCTCTCTGATTGATGAAGTTGTATTTTATTCATCAGACTTTAAGATCTAACAGATATGGACTTATCTTTCAAGAATACTTTGCATAGTTCAGAGTTTTGGAGCGTCTCCTTCACATGCCATTTCAGGGCTGCTCAGGTGAAGATATCTGAATATCTGAGGACAGACAACCTGCCTCATAGACAAGTCCACAAACTATTTCTAGGAGACTTTTTTGGGTCAAGTGCAGATATCTGTTTCTAGAGATTAACATCACCGGTGGTAACTGGAGAGGTGTCAGGTGAGGTCACTTCCTGAGGACTGCTGAGGTGACCTTGAGCAAGGCCCTGAACCCCCTCACAGCTCTGGTGCAGCCTCCTCGCTCCGACATCTTGTTCCTGTTTGTTCCTTTATTCACACAGGTCTGTCCCTCCTGGTTCCTCACGTGCTGGTAGAGTGTTTACTCTTTAAGTCGGAGCTCTAAACTTTACTCTGAACCGGTTTCTAAGAACTGGAACTGTTCCAAGTGAATGCAAACAACATGTGGTCTCTCTGTTTATAGAGCAGTGTTTGAATGTTTGGGTGATAAAAAGGAAAGTGTCTGACCTGACTGGCATCAGGTCCAGGTCCTCTGAAGCTAAAGAGCTCTTTCAGGATGTCGTACTCCTCCTGCACACAGAGACAACATGCAGCTGAGGTCAGATCAACGAGGACCAAAAAAATAAATAAAACAGATGGGGGGGGGGGGGGTGCTGACGGCCTAGTGGTTAGGTCACACCCCATGTTTGGAGGCTGTGGTCATTTTTTTAAACCAGAAATTGTAAAACCTGCTCTGAAGTGGCACAGTGAGAGATGACAGAGAGGACGATGGTGGACAGAGGAGTCCATGCTGGAGGAGGACAAAGGTGGGAAATGTCTTTTTCCTGAAGAATACCTTGTATCCTATAAAGTTCAAAATATATATATTTAAACTCTTTAAATCAGTCTCACTTAACACTCCCCCCAACTGAGCACCCACTTCTTTTCTCCTTAATTTGTTTGTCTTGTGTTTTTCATGTTTTATTATTTGGTTAACTGTCACAGAAGACCTTCCCTCACTGCTCGAGATGAAGCATCCATCTTTTTTATTTATTTCTGATGAAGGTTTATCATCTATTTGTCCATCTGCCTTTTGTTTTCACAACAAAGGGTGAAAATATGGCCGGCTACAATTTCATCACATTTCCTTCATTAGATCAAAGCAGTTTCTGTCTATAATGGAGAAAAAGAGAAAGTGGGAGAGCAGCCCATGGCTTAGAGGCTGAAACAGGTTTTTCCACGTTTTGTTTTTAGACGTATTTAAGAGCTCCACAGAGTCTGAACAATGTGGATGTGATAGACTTCCTGTTAAAACAGGAAGGGATCATTTCAAACTCCAGTCCAATGAATCATTTCCTCTTCCTCTATACGGTGAGTTTTATTATTAAAAAAAGTCAGCTTAATTTTGATTACAGACTCACGTGTACAAAGACGCTGCAGACGAGACGATCAAACCTGACTCCTAAAACGTCAGGACGATTTTCAAAATGTTCATCAAAATAATAATGATGTGTGTGCACATTTTAAATGAATGTCAGCAACATGTTTCCAAAAAGTCGGGACAGAGTCATGTTTAATGTCACCTCTAACAACTCTGTGGGCGTTTTGGGAGATGAGGAGATCGTGGAGATCAGGACATGTGTCCTGTTTTTCCTTGATGTTGGATTTCAGCTGTTCAGCGGTGTGGAGTCTCCTTTGTCTTATTTTACTCTTCATGAGGCTTCAACAATGTTCCACGGTCTACAAGTCGGGACTGCATGCGGGTGATGTCCACTTCAGAATCTGTTTGTAAAGCAGGGCTGTCTGAGGGCTTGAACATCACAGGCCCAACATCATAAACCCTTTTCACACATGCTGAAATCTCCTGATAAACTCCGGAGATTTCCAGGAGGAGCTGTATATGTGAACACGACAGCCGAATTTTTCACTCCGAGAGCATGTTTCCTTAATGTCTGATCATGTAGTAAGCTCACTTTATCATTTCACTCTCTACACATCTCACTGATTGGACCTGTAAATAAACGTTATTCTTAAAGTGTTGCACTATTTTCCAGCAAAGTCTTTCACAGAGTGGTAACCCCCTCCGATAGACTCCGCCTCTTTGAGATTCTCTTACCCAATCAAGTTGCAAGTTGACCTCATGAACTGTCGGGTGGTGTTTTTTGTTTCTTTTGTTGCCACTGTCCTCACTTTCTCCTTCAATGTGCCGATCTTATCCAGAAACCATGAAATCTCTCAGCTTCAATTAAATATGGGGTTACATCATCATCAAATCATCACATTGTTTTTATTTACATTATAGGAACTGAGGTCGTATCGTCCTGTTTGGTAACCATCATTTATGTAGTAATTATTAGTTACCTGAGTCTCTACTATGCACCTGTGTGTAGTAAAGGTGTGTAATAGAGATGTACCTGTGTGAGTACACCAGGTGTGTGTGTGTGTGTGTGAGGACTTACCTGTGTGTATAACTCTTTGAAGGGGTTCTTACAGGAGAAGAAATCCAAGTCGATGTCCAGGATGTAGGGCTCAGTCTCACTCAGTATTGTAGATATTCTCTTCACAACATAACCAGTAGATCCTTCTTCATCATCTTCATCATCTTCATCCTCAGCACCCAGGCCCGTCTCAGTGCTGCCCCCTGCTGGCTGCAGTGTGTCAGTACATGTGAGGAGAGACTCAGAGCAGCCAGCCTCCTCGCCGTCTGTTTTCTGTCTCTTCACAAACCGTCTCTGTGAGTCCACGTCTTTCTGTCCTGGAACATCAGAGACAACAGCGTGACCCATAGAAATGTAGAAATCTGTACATGAACGTTATCCAATACGAGTACTATGAGTCCATTCAGGAGCAGAATCTAAAGTTAGAAGGAGGACATACTGGCTGCTGCATTGTTGTCAGAGAAGCCAGCACTTCAACAGAGCATGTTTCCTTTATGATCATATAGTAAGATCACTTTATCATTTCACTCTCTACACATCTTACTGATTGGACTTTTAAACCTTTCAGGGACTGAACTCAGTGGTCATTAATAGGCACCCTAATGCGTGTGCACATTCCCACAGCAGAGCTCAACTAAAGAACGAAATGTTTCCTGTGTGTTGTTTATAAAATCTGCCTCTCCGTCTCCTTCCTTCACCACACACCTGTAACAGACCTGTGACCTGGTCTGACGGGGTTCACTTTGACCACGTCCAGTCGGAGAGGTTTGGAGTTCTCCAGCTGCTCCTCACACACGTACAGACCATCACTCAGGAAGTAGTGATCAACGCTCGTCACCCTGCAAGACAAAGCACAGGGCAAACACTCACTGAGAGGTCACGACTGATAAAGAGCGGTGTTTCAAAGACAGCTCGATGGTTACCGTCTCTTTATGGGAGTGTATGTGAAACCAGAGAGAAGGAATGAGAACAACCTCCCAGTTTCCACACTCAGGATATGAAAACTAAAAATTAATAAGGGATTATTATAAGCACAAAGAGTTCAACGATGGGCAGCTCCGTTGAGAAATGTGGCTTTAGTAACACTCTGTGAACTCAATCAGCAGAGTCAAATACACCAACAAGAATCCTTCATTCCCGAGTGTGTCTGCTTGAAATCCATGCAAGAATCTGTCCCGCTGTGAAACTGGACACACCTGAGGGATTTTTGCCTTTTAAATCGAGAAGTTAATTGTGTGTTTTGTTAGCAAAAGCAGCGTGACATCAATATATCTTCTTATACTGTATTATTTAAGTTGTTGTTAGTTCTGCTTTATTTCCTTGTTAACTGTTTAGCACCAATACACCAAGTCAAATTCCTTGTATGTGTAAATGTACTTGGCAATAAACCCCGATTCTGATTCTGATTCTGATATAGAGGTGGGCGATATGGAAAAAATCATTATTTTATCACGATTTTTACTGATCTTAAGACTATTTTGCAAGTTACTGACCAGTTCAACCAAACTTATTTCCCTGTATAATGTTTTTAAATGCACAAAAACTGAGCTGATAAGTTTAGTCAATTTGAAAAACATCTTTTTGGAGGTCTGGAGGTCTCTCACCCAGAACATCTTTAGCAACAGAAATGTCTTTCCCTCAATTTGATCAATATTTATGAACAATTTGAAGGTTTTCCTCACCACTTTGAAATGATGATTTAGTTATGTGTCCTCTTTTTGTGTTCATCAGGAACATTTTCACGCAGTGATGCATTCATTTAAAAACATGTAGACTTCAAGTTCCTGTATTTTAGCCCTGCAGAGTTCCTACAGCTGGAGCTTCATAGAGGCTCTGCAGCCTTTGTTTATAGGCTTTGTTTTTTTATGACATCATTGGACTAACTTTAGTTTTGTTTATATATAATCAAACATAATACTGAATGTGTTCATTCTGTGACACATGATCAAAGTAAGTTTTACTGACAGAAGAGTTTAATTCACAGAGGGGGCGGGACATTGTTGATTGACAGTCACCATGGTTACTCACTCTCACCTGCCTGCTGCTTTGTAACGTCATTTAGTGTAATCCCTATAACTTCCGTTATCACAACAGGCGAGCTTCGGGTGGAGAAGCTTGATAATTAACTTTTAAAAACTGAGAGAGAGCAGAAAACACCGACAGCAACATTTGAAACACCGGGGTTATATCTCCACTCACTGTCTGTCTGAGCTCCTCTCTGTCTGACTCTCTGCAGACTGTTAACGTCTCTCCGGCTCGTTTAGAGTTCGTTGTGTCGCTCTCCGAGATGTAAACTTAACTGGTCAAACTATGCAGATAAGTTAACTGTTGCTCACGCCGTGTCGGTTTGGAAAAATATCAGAACAGTTGCATATAACCGAGATGGAGTTGTTTGTTTTCTCCGCTGCGGGGGAGACATGTCTGTGTCGGAGCATAAACTGCAGCATGATAGAATAAACACATTAGCCCGGTTCTACGATCTCCCTGCTTTGGCAGATCGTCAGCAACTTAAAATCCTTCACGATCTAAGATCACTATATCGCTCACCACTACGTCAACACTGAGGCTCTTGCTGCTGACTACTACAGTGCAGACTCTCAGTATGTCAGCGGCCTTCAAGGGGATATCCTGGCTTCATCCTGTTAAAGGGGGGGGGGAGTAGAGGCACGCTGTCTATTACAGACTGTTCTGTGTGTGTGTGTGTGTGTGAGAGTGTCTCACCTGATGGTGGTGGTGGAGGAGTCTCTTCCCACAGACATCCTGTGCTCCCCCTCCCTGATCTGCTGGGCCCAGTACGGATGGAGCCAGGCCACACAGGACACGTGACCAGCGTACACCATGGGCATGATCCAGTTCTCTATACTCAACTCACTGACAAACAAACACACATGCAGTGAAGAGTCAAACACACTGCACCTGTCCCAGCAGACAATAATATGTCACATTCTGATTATTCATTTAGCAAGAATCTAATATTTCAATATAAAGTGGATTTGTTGATCACAGGTTTGGAAAGGGCTTCCTCCTGCTTGTTTATGTTTCGCTCAGAGGCTCAAACTTTTTTCATGTTTTTTTTTCCCACATGAACTCCTCCCTCTCCAACCATTAGCCCTGCCCACTGCATGGGGGGAATAGAGATGGCCCCGCCCACTCAGGGACGCTGTTTCAAGTTGCATAATGACGAGTCTCGATGCAAGTGAAGGAGAACCAGCGGTAAAACATAGAACAACCAAATGAACTTTTAGATGCATATCATTACTTTAAAATCTTAGTTTTCAGATGTTTATCCTCACTTGTCTGCCGCTGCCTCTCAGAACCCTGAAAGGGGAAGGGGAGGGGTGGGGGAGCTGACGGATGAAGGAGGTGTGTCTGAAGAGAGCATTGTTTTGGTCTGAAAGTCTCATGGTCAGTCTTTAAACCCTGCACAGAAACATGTCACCGTCCTGGTATCCTTTCACTAATAAAAGGGGAGTCCTGGAGTTTTTAAACCTGGGCCCGTTTTTTACATGATTTGGGCGCACAAAACAATTTGGAGATGCTCCAGATAATACAAAGGGGGCATCTGTAAAGGCTGTAATGTCTCATTTGAGGAATTTACAGATGATAAAAGTATGTTTTTGTTTTTACTGACAACTTTACAGAGAGGATCCCAGCAGAGACAGATATCCTTCATTACTGTCCACCACGGAGTACAAGTCCTTTAGAGCTTTAAATGGTTTGGTATCCTCCAATTGGTCTGACAAAAATCTAATAGTCACGCGTTAGTTATGGAGGCTATGTCCTCGTCCGAGCAGCTGAGGGTTTAAACTGACCTCAGCCCTCTGCTGCATGTCATCATGTCAATTTACCTGAAATGAGCGTGATCTAGAAACACAGTTAAGCAGTGAGTACAGTATGTTATTCTTCTTTTCTCTAGTCCCTCAATTAAACACCTTTTATACGTGAGAGGAGGAGTCAGCCGGCCGTCCGGGCGATGTAAACAAAGTGAAGATAGGACTCTGAAAACTGAAAACATCACAGACAGTGGGACTCGGGTGTTACACCCATTGTAGACAGTCATGACTCACAGAGTTATTTTCAGAAGATATACTTGATTTCTACATTTAAGTTGAAAAATCACATGTTAAGACTTTAAAGCAAAGAGCATGTGGAAAAAGCAGCTTGTTATGATCGTAACGTTTAAGAGCTGAATGTGACAGACCATCAGGGTCACACTACCTCAAGAGTTTGTCCTTATCAAACACGGTGTCTGCACACATGTTGACAGGGATGAGCAGGTCTGGGTGGGAGTCCAGGTGGACCATCTTTATGTTCTTCAGCGGGAGGTGTCTGGATGCGATGGCTCGATAAATGTGACACACCACCTGAAACACGTGACGACACGTCTCTTTAATGTGTTGTAGGAACACACGTAGAACTCTGAGAGAGACACTGTGAGTTAACTTACATCGTGGTGGTCCTCCACGACCCACACCGGGAGCTCTGAGTAGAGTCTCTTCAGCGGCACGCAGCTCATCTTACCGGAAGAGCGACGAACCGAAATGTTCCGCAGCTTCAGTCTGAAGGCTCGTTAACGTGACGTCATCGTAGCTCCCGGTCCAGCATGCACCGTAAAAATGTTTAATCAGAAATAGTTTGAAATGTAACTTTACACCCGGCAGAAACAGCTGACAACCAGAGGCACCGGAAGTGAGTCCAGCTTTGTTTTTATGTCCGGGCAGAAACAAGAGTGAAGAGAGAAACAAACGTTCCTAGTCTTCTTGTTTTCGGTGTTTTCTAACAGGAGGCAAAAAATAATTTGCATGATGAAAATAGATAATAACAACTTAATTCTCTTTATTAGTTTTGTTCTAAAATAGTCTATTACACTTGTCCAGAACATGTAAAATATCAATAGGCCTACGGTGTCAGAGGTGACTTGGACATGATTTTTTTTGGTTTTCTTTTACATATGCAAGCTTTCTATTACAGGTATCTGTTTTATCAATTGTACAATGCATGCCTTTAATAAAACAGGTGCGCAAAAATACTTATGACATGTGTAAATGACTAAATCAATCACAAACAAATCTTTTTGCCTGAGAAAAAAAAAGATAATAACAACTTGATTCTCTCTTATAGTTTTGTTCTAAAATAGTAGCACTTGATTTACATGTAAAATATCAAGTAGGCTACGGAACACGCTTTGACATTACAAGTAGCCTTGCACCACGTGCATTTTAGTAACTTGCACGCACGCTCTAAGTCCAATGCATGCCCCTTATAAAAACAGGTTTGCGAAAATGACCCTATGATACTACTGAAATGTGTGAATTTCGAAATCACGCACATGTTTTAATTATAGCAGCAATGTGTAACTTGGACACCTAGTGTTTAAAATGGGTACTGCAGTCTAAATTCTAAACATTGTAGAGAGCTGTCTCCCCCCTCCTCTCTAGAGTCCATGCTCACTCAGGTCACCATGTGGTGAACTCTGAAGCTTCAGTGTTTATCCAGCTCTGCATGGGTCTGTAAACCTTTCTGTGTTCTAACCTCTCTCCATTTTTCAAAAGCATCTCCAATATTGATCCTAGTTTGAGCACGTTTTAGGTTACAGCTACAGACAGTTTAAATAAGAAGGCAGTTCATGAGGAATTATAAAGAGAGTAGTGCCAATGTCCCAGGAAGACAAAACTAAGACATGATGATGTGTGCAGCAGACAAATCGCAAGTCAGGAAACAAAGGAAATGAGTCAGATAATTCTCCTACTAACTTAGAATATCAGCCAAAACAACAGAAAAGTCATAAAATAACTGTTTAAAGGTTTCTACCTCTGAAGAACAGAAGATCCACATCAGATGATCCTTTCTTGTTTGTGAAATCAGTAATGGTGTACTTGACAGTGAACGTTGCAGAAGCTCTTTGAGACCAGTTTTCAAGGACCTTTGAAGCAGTAGCTGCTTTACTTCACCTGCTCACTAACAAACAGCAGACAGACACAAGCAGAGACGAGCTGATGAAAGATGCAGCAGACTTGGCCTCATTTGAAAAATGTTTAACAAGAAAAAGTTTCATCAATATGCAACCGATCTAAGAGCTCAGCTCTCAGTTACTTATTTATCAAACGTATGAAGGAATCAAAGCAGCACGCTGTAGCAGAACTCTGAATCCTCAAATAAATAATGAAACAACAAAAATGTTCAGATCGATGCTTCAAGTTTGTTCTAGTATTATGACCTAAAGTTGTAATAACATTCAAATGCTGACACACTTATATTTTCAGAGATATTAAAAGGATTATGAATTAAATGAAAGCACATTATCTCACTGCTGTGTTGGTCACATTAAGTACAACACCTTTTATATAAATCACTATTTAGTCTCTACTAAAGGCTAAATTTAAATGTTTAATTGAAAACACTCAAAGTTTATCTTTAAATGTTCATGTTTATGAAATGCTTTTCTGAAAAAGATTTCTTGATCTGCCAAAATATCAGATCAGGTTTTAAAATAATGGTCATTTTTGTAAAAGAAAAAAAACATCAGACAAGTCAGAGGTTTATTCTTCAGATAATGTTATAATGTACTTGTGGTGCAGCTGGGTGTTTCAGATGTGATCACTGCCTTTGTCCCTTTGGTGTCTTTAATAAAAAACACAGCACAGCATCTAGCAGCGGTTGTCAAAAAACAGCTCTGTCTGCTCTTCTGTTGAACATCTGTATTAATCTCTCGTTCCACTACAGCTCCCCCCAGTGGCTCTGCAGGGAACTGCAAATCAGAGACTTCTCAAAAGCAAACACAAAAGACAATATGATAGAAATGTTTCTATATGGAAACACGGAGGAAAGATTTGGCTCAGGGCGGCCGTGGCTCAGTCATCGTCTCCCAGCAGGAAGGTTGAGGGTTCGATCCCCAGCTCCTGCAGCCACATGTCAGATGTGTCCTTGGGCAAGACACTTAACCCCAAAGTGATCCCACTGCTTTGTCGTTGGCATTTCTGCCTATTTAAAGGAAGTTTTTTTAGAGTGGTGATATAAAAAAATGTGCATTGTGTAATAAGATTGTTATACTGCAATAATTATATTTAAAGTGATCAGGCCTGCTCGTGGTATCTACAGTCTCTAAATGTTCTATTACTACTGATGCACAATATCATCAGAATCACAACCTCAGACTTCCTTTTTTACAATTTGTGAACTTGCCCCCTGCAGGCAAAAAAAAAGATGATTGAAAAGCTATCTCGTCTATTCCATCCCTCACACACGTTCACATGTAGAAACATTGTCCTCTCCTTTGTGAGCTGTAGCAGTGTAATGCAGCGATCCTGTACGTCTGTGATGGGATGTGGGACAGTCTGCGCATATATCCTCACTTTGATCTCCTGGCCTTTGAGAGCGTCAAGGCGCTTTGATCCTGCTTCCTTTGGACCGCAGCCCATCAGTGATGACAGCAGGAGAGATGGGTGCTGGTAGCAGCAGTGAGCAAATAGGCTGAATGTGAGCGACGAAGAAAGATGGAGAAGGAGAAAAGATTCAAAAGTACAGTTTGGTTCAGGTAGGGGGAGAGACAGAAGATGAACAAAACACAGCAGGAGGTTTTCTGCAGAGTTCTGAGAGCAAACGGAAAAGACAGAAAAACGAGCTGCACCCTCCATGCAGAGGTCTCCTGCATTAAGAGACTTCCATTGACATCTGCTTGAAAGGGTCAATTCACCATCTGTGGTTGGTTAAATTCTGTTTTTTGTCATCCTCATATAGTTTTAAAAACATGATGTTGACAAATCTTTAATGGCAACATAATGACAGTTCACCAACATCACAGGATAAACTCTGGTTAAAGATGATGTCAGAAACTATTACAAAGATTATCAGATAAGAGTTGAGGTTTGAAGGTGAGTCAGTCTCAAAAAGGTTGAGAGAATCATCCCATCGAGATCTAACACCAGTTCTTTGATGCATTTTTTAGCTGATTACTCATTACACATTACTCTCAAGTTTTTAATTATGATTTTTTTCAACAGAGAACATGCTGCAGACATAAAGCACAAAGTCAAATCACACAAGGTGCTGGTGGAGCGTGAAATGACGAGTCCTGACACACAAACACAAATACACACACACACACACACACACACACACACACACACACACACACACACACACACACACACACACACACACACACACACACACACACAGACACACACAGACACACACGCACACAGACACACACACACACACACGCACACACACGCACACGCACACACGCACACACACACGCACACACGCACACACACGCACGCACGCACGCACACACACGCACACACACGCACACAGACACACACAGAGTCGAGGATGATTAAAAGTTAGTGCCAGTTAACAAAAAAACATATATGAGTTATAGGAACATGTAGTGTGTTCTTAATAAGGTTCTTCTACAAAACAAACACGTTAAGTAATGACACACACAACTTCCTGAGAGCCTTCTTCTCAGAACTGATATCATAGGTGACGTGAAGATTAAGACATGCATTTCCTGATAAAGAGAATTAGCTGGTATTTGGTGTCGTTATCTTCTCATCTTCTTATAGAAGTACCAAAAATTCACAACTTTCAACCAAATTTTATAATGGAGGACATAACTTAATTTTATTTGGAATACAACATGTGGCCCTTATAAAGAGAACAGGTGCTATTAACTGGATGACCCCTCCCCCTTCCTTGCTTGATCAATGGTTACAAAAAATCAAACATTATATACACAATGGAACAAATGACAGCCCAGCTACAACTGAGACTGCCTGTTTTCAAAAGGAGAAGGATAGCAGTTACTGACACCTCGCTTAGGACTGTTCTCATTTGTGACTGTTAATTTCCTGTTATTTTGAAAAAGTTTCAATAAAAATATAAAACAATAATAAAGAAAAAAGGTTATAGCTAAGACAATGCATTCTTAAAGAGATGCTTCACCCGTTGAAACATGAATCTGTATTGACATTGGCTCAACACCAGCAAGACGAAGGAGCTCATCGTGGACTTCAGGAGAGAAAGAGGAAGCACGCACAACCCCATTCACATCAACGGGATGGCTGTTGAACGTGTCTCCAGCTTCAAGTTCCTGGGGACCCACATCACAGAGGACCTCTCCTGGTCCACTAACACCTCCAGTCTGGTTAAGAAGGCTCATCAACGCCTCTTTTTCCTGAGGACACTGAAGAGACACCCACCTGTCTTCAGCTGTACTGATGAACTTCTACCGCTGTGTGATCGAGAGCATCCTGACCAGCAGTGTCTCAGTCTGGTATGGAAACTGCTCTGTCACAGACCGTAAGGCACTACAGCGGGTGGTAAAAACCGCCCAGCGCATCACAAGGTGTCCACTTCCTGCCATTGAGGATGTCCAAAGAAAACGCTGTCTGCGGCGAGCTCACGGCATCCTTAAAGACTCCTCCCACCCTGCCCACAGACTGTTTACCCTCCTGCCCTCCGGCAGGCGCTTCAGAAGCCTCCGGACCAGAACCAGCAGACTGAGGAACAGCTTTTTCCCCAGAGCTGTCTCTCTACTGAACTCTACCCCCCGAACTCTGAACTCTGTCTCTCTCTCTCTCTCCCTCTCTCTCTCCGCCCCCTGCTGACCCCCCTTTCCCCTACATATCACCTCACACCCATCATCGCCCCCACCACTCCTCCTGGTCACACACACTCATCTCTCATCCATCTGTATTATTGTATT